GTTGCTCCTCTACGTGGACCCCCGGCTGCTGCGCCATAGCGCAAGCCACCACAGCAGCAACTCGAAGCATGGCAATCGATTCGATTGGCAATCGAAATCCCTGCGAGTCTTGCCACCCACCAACTCAGCAAATACTGCGGGCAACGAATGTCTGCAGAAAAGAACTTGCAAACGATAGAGAGTTAAGCAAGGCCAGACTGGAACGAATGCCAAATAGATGTACAGAAAGCTTAAGCAAAAAGACACAAGCCTCTGAACATCCATGTTTTTCACTGTTTGCTGCTGTCCTCGCAAATCACACCAGAGTTGGTGCGAGTTCTTTGTGCAAGGATTATGCACGAAAAGATGTGCAGCTATCTAGTGGGCTGGTGGCTTTGGAAGTTCTTACCAAGTTTGACAGTAGTTTCCAAGCCCGCCCTTCACATCGCGGCAGCGGCACCCTAAGATGCAGCATGTTCATGCAGGCTGAATTCACAGCTCCAGGAATTGTGGCATCTCTGTCCTTTGCGTGTGTATGCCTGCAAATGGACTCAAGTCAAAACAATGGAAGAAGCCTCCTCTGTGCTGCAAACCAACGAGGCTGCCTATGACGCAAAGAACCATTTGCAGGCCAACCAGCTCTCAGCTCACCCAAAGGATCCCAAAGAGTACCACCAAACGGTACGATTGTGACCGTGAAAACACTGTACCTGCGCAACGGGGCGCACAAAGCAGGCCCCAATTAAGTCATGCGACACCAAAGGTGGGAGAAGACACGACACCAATCGATTTGCGCATCTGGAGACATGGGAACTCCCAAAACATTGGACCACAATGCTCTCTTGGTAAGAGGAACCATGCGGAATGATGAGGAACCTGGAAGACTCGTTGGGTAAGCTCACGGAGCTCAGACATGGATCTCCTCCAGGCGTCGGTTGTCAGCCCAAATCCCATCATCCTCATCCTCATCGTCATCTGTCTGTCCGAAGGTTGAGCCCAGGGTTCCAACCTCCATGCATCGGTCGGGCAATGAAAGTCTAGAAGCACAGCATGTCATAGCAACGCATGTCCTAGGTTGGAGGCCCTCGCTATTAGGAGCAAGGACGCTACTAGGAACAAAGGGCATCGCTACTAGGAACAAGAACCCTACTAGGTTGGAGGCCATCGCTTGTAGTTTGTGCGGCCTTGATCTTGCTGTACTTGACACGGGCGGTTGGATACTTCTCCCGCAAATAAGCAGGCTTTCCCGTCGTAGTGAGGCAAGTGCCGCGGTTCACACCTGGAGTCGATGGGTCCTGCAATTTGATTGCTGAGACTCCCAAAAGTTCACAAACGCTCTGCCATCAAGATGCAAGCTAGCATTTCGGAAACATCAGGCCGTGTGATTTGAGACACTAAATAAAAGAAAGAAAAGGAAATGAAGCAAAACGAAAGCACCATATCCATGTCCTTGTTCGGTGGGTAGTTGGAGTCCAGCCAGAGCATGTTGGCTTCCTTTGCTCACTCCAACTGCCACCACCCAGCAGATCCGGTCCGACTTCACAAGTCACAAGCTATATATAAATAGTGTACAGTTCCTCCTCCATGCTGCCTAAGGCTCCGCATCATCCCACAGCGACATGACCAACACTACTCCTCTGTCCAAGGCTTCTCCCATTGCCTTCAACCCGCCGTGGTGCGTGAAGTCATCGATATCTCCAAAGGCCGTCTGTGCAGGTGCAAAAGATGGCGAAAACAAAAGCTCTACACACTGCTTGAAGAGTTACATACATGCCGATTTTAGTCTAAAACAAAATTATATATATAAATACGTATGTATGTGGGGGGAGGGTATTATGAGGCTGTCTTGTCAAATGACATAATATATATATATATGTATCAGGAACTAAACTCACCAGCAATGAAACAAAACGATAGGGAGGCAGAAGACATTCTGTCTGTTTAAACACTTAGGACCTAAGCAGGATGTATTGTATATCTATGTGTGTATATATACATATGTATATATATTAGAAGAAACACCATGCTTATAGTTTATAGGGTTCCAAACAAATAGAAGAAACCCATGGGCAGTATCTTCTAAAAAAGGGCAGCGTACTATAGAAGGATACTGAGTTACTGGGTTGTTTAGAGATCCTTCCGAGAAAAGCACCTACAAGGTTCTCAGAACACAAGCGAGCAAAGGGCCTTAGCAAGTCACAATGCAATGCAATACCAAGAAGGGCAACAATGTCATGGAGGTCCGACCGTGTTGCCGTGCAAGCCGTGGCAGGTAGTGTGGATAAGCCCCTAGTAGCGTCCTTGCTCCTAGTAGTAAGGCCAGGAGCCCCTAGTAGCGTCCTTGTTACTAGTAGCGATGCCAGGAGCCCCTAGTAGCGTCCTTGCTCCTGGACCTTCTGACATGGATGTTGTTGGAAAAAACAAGTATTGAAGCCAACAAAGACCATGGCCGCATGGGAAGCACTTAGGACGATGACCCAGGCGGGGAAGTATGAATTCAAAACACACACCAAACCGGGACAAGTGTGTCTTAGCATCAGCTGAACAGCAGAACTATCAGTAAAGAGAACACCAAATGATTGCCCCTGCAGAAGGACAATCTTCGGATGAGAAGTTGGGGCAGCTAAAGGGCATTCCCTTATGGGAACTTAGAGGAACTCAGTTACTCAGTTACTCAGCTTTTCTTGCTTTTCTTGTCATGTCCATGGGATTGTAGCTTGGCCTGCAAACCAACAGCTGAAAAGTCAAGCCGGCCTGCCTTCATGTCTTTGCAAACCTTGTCTGTAACGGAATCGCCTGTCACTCCGGCAATGGAAATATTCGAGTTGGGAATGACCTTGCCGTCTTGCACGTAAAACCGCCTGATGTCAATCAAATCCCCATCATCTCTGTTTCCTTCAGTGATGAATTGGGTCACAATTGTCATCTTCTTCCTGACGGCATTTCTGTGGTGGAAAAACTAGCAATGCTGGCTGATGCCACGACTACCTACCACCAACGACATTCATATAGAAGGACGCTACTAGGAGCAAAGGGCATCGCTACTAGGAGCAAGGACGCTACTAGGGGCTCCTGGCTGTACTACTAGGAGCAAGGACCGCTACTAATCATTAAAGCTCCGTAACCAACTGCTGCAGCGACTCCTGCTGTTGACGGCGAAGCTCTTGCCACGACCATAGTATTCTTCGTCTCCCAAGCGATATGAATTGAAGTCGCAGCCATCTTTGTCGCAAACTCCATCATAGCGCTGCTCCTGCAGTCATTGAACCTTTGTTCAGTCTGAACATGTCTTGTACCTACTGTGGCTGACCACCAAACGGTCCGATCATTCAGGTTTTATTGTTTGCACAAAAAAAAAAGGACAATCCGACAATCCTTCTCCAACTCCAGCCACCCTCTGCCAAGCTCACTCTCCACAAACTCGTAAAAACATGAACAACTCTCCTTGCTGTTGTCACCGCATTCAATGCCTTCACAAGTATACGGGCCAGTCAGGGAGCATGGGTGGGGTGTGTATGCTGTTGCCTTTGAGTTCGCCTCCCAAATATCCATCTCCGCACAGCAAGCACCCCATTTGCCAACAGGAGGGTTGTGGCTCGCATTCCATCCAAGCACGTTTGCTTTGCCTGGCAGCGTTTCGAACACCGGCCCCTGCAGTCTTACATGTCTTGCATAATGTGAGGGCTCTGGAAGGGGCGGGTGCGAGCAGTACCCATGGCTGCAGTACCCATGGCTGCTTACTACGGTTTCAGAGCAAACTCTAAGCCTGGGCCTAGGCTATACTGGTGCAACTGCATAAGATTCAAAACACCCAGTGTAAATGTCATTTAGCACCTCGACGATGGATTCAGATTGGGTAACCGTTGCAAGATGCTCATTTTACCAGGCTGTCCTAATGGTCAATCAACTAATTATGTTCAACATAAATCATAAATGTCTGATGAGGCCCTTGCGAGAACACCTCTAGTGAAAACATCCCACCTTCCATGAATTTCATGTCGTGCGGACATTGAGCATCGCAATACCCAGTGCCAAATTTTGCGCCAGCTTGGTTCGAACCACCAGCGGCTGCTGCCCGTGCTTGCCCACCATCTGCATCCATTTCCACAAAGTATACTGCACCGTTGAGACCACAAGGCATGAAGAACATGTCGGCAGACATCGTGAACTCCCGGTTCTTCAGCTTGAACATCTCATACTTGTCCGGCCCGTCTAGCATGTAAATGCGGGAACCGAAGTTGGAGCCATACTTGTCTTTGGTCACGAAGTTTAGCTGGATGCCATCATCGATCTCTTTGATCCCATAGGTTGACTTGTACTGCTTCTCTGAGTTGCCTGGAAATGGTTTACAATTATACTATTGGATGTGTGCCAAGTTGCAAACAGTACAAACACGGCCTGCGCACACATGTTGCATTTTGACATACGTCGTATTGGTGAACCGCATGTTAACCTTGCTGCTTCACTTCTTTCTCCCCGCCTTCCAAATGGCAGTTCTCCGCACATGCCACTGGATCTGGACACAAGGTTGTGTCAAAGTCACCATCCTTGTAGCAGTTGGTGTACTCACCATTGTGAAGCCAGCGCCAGTTCGCATCCAGGACCACGCTTTTCATCTTCTTGGAGCATCCCGAACTGTCACAATTCCACAATGGCATTTTCGGGTGATACTCCTGTCAAAAATGCAGGTGTCAGGGTCGAACAGGGTTTCTTACACATGTCATAAGACTAGTGACTAGAAAACCACATGACTGGCCTAGGCCTTCCAGCCTCAGGCAACAGTCACACAGCCCGTGACTCCTCCACATGAACACCGCCTTGCTGCGCCCAAGCACAAACCACCACACTGGCAACTCGAAGCATTGCAATCAAACCCTCGCTTTCCTTCTTTGCACTGACTCAAAATTCTGAGCCTATGATGCGGACAAAGGACATGACCCACATGATTGAATAGTCTATTGCCATGGTTGCAACAATGCCAAAACTGCAAATCACTCGGCGGCCGTCTCCCCCACACAGTCCGGTCTGTCGGCAGTTCCCACCGTCCTGATGTTCCACGGGAACATCTGGCAAGGACAAGGCAAAGTCTGCCAAAGACTTCACCAGCACTCGGCGCCTGCAAGCCGAGCAGCACGTCTTGGGAAAGAATACGCAATCTGGGCAGCGTGATGTACCCCCCTAAACGAGAGCCGGAATTGGGGGGGTACCAAATGGTGGTTGGGCCTCAAAAGTGTCTGGGTCATTTGGTTTTGACAACATGGGAAAATATGCATTCCTCAAGTGAAACGGCACAGCTCTCAACGACCTTGCTTCACTCACTAGCTGCGAACCATCCTTGTTGCCCTCAAGTCTGGGGCTCTGGCATCCGCCAGGGATCGCTCTCTGTCTCTCCTTTGGGCCTAGCACGGTCCAAGCTGTATCTCTTTGGCCTAGCCGATTGGGGCTTTGTGAACCAACTGATCCACCCCAGATCAATGTTGTGGCACAAAGAGGGAATCCAAATCCCATCAATTCGAGAGTATACTGGATTCACTCAATGGGTCACTGATTTTCTACCTGCGACCTACTTCTGGCTTACAGAGCTGATACACATCGCTCATTTCAGTGACTGCAGGGGCAAAGTGATCAGACATGATCAGACAGTATGTCCCACCCTTCCTGGCCGGGCATGTTGCGGCGAAACCAAAGGCAAGTTTAAAGTGGTTACAGTACTTGAGAGACGCTTTGCCTCTAAAGCTTCAGGACCCCAGCGCCAGAGCTGGCAGCACTAAAACCTCCTCGGCAAACCTCTCTTCGCTCATAAGTGTCTGGCTCGCACTGCTCAGCCCAGAGGCTTTTAAAGACCGCAGTGCCTCAGAGAGATCAACTTGGAAATGGATGCGACTCAAAACAGCTCGTCTATGGTTTCTTAACGCCTAAGCATCAGAATCACAATAAAGCGATTGCATTAGGACAGCACAATATAATATAAATCAAATAGAAAGGTCTGACAGCATTGAGCACCAAGCGCACTCCATGTGGCATCCCTGCCAAGTGAAACACCTCGGCGGCTTCAAGAAAGCACCGGAATACATCTACGATACATTCCATATCCCATCTTATTGACCGACTACGTCAAGTTTCCCAAAAAGTCTAGGAACCAAATGATGAGTGCGAGCCCTTCTTCAAGGAAGTTTGAGCTATCCTGCGTCCAGTTAGTAGTAGCATCCTAGTAGCTAGGAGCGGGCAGGCCACGGCAAACAAAAAAAGACAAGACATATAAACATGTGTGTATATTATATATATATATACATACAAATAACAACAATAATAACAATGATGATAGTTCAAAAAAACATGCTGAGAGCAGTCCACAAAGCACACCCTGAAGTCGCAAGACCTGCCCAGTGCTGAGCTCTGTAGCTGGCTGCCTTGACGCAGGCGCAGCAATGGGATTGCTAGACCTAGGCCGAAGAAGAATAACACCTAGACGAAAAAAAAAAAAAACATAAATTCTGAATTGAGAGATAGAAAACAAAAAGCATTAGAAAGTTTCTTAAACCAAGGTGGTGAGAGCCTTTAACGAAACCCAAATATCTGGTGGTTTTACTGTTTGTCTGTCACTCCATTTCACTGACACATAGGAACTCACTAAACAAGACACACTTTCTGAGGGAATGCCGCTTGGCGTCAGGCTCACTGTTGAGAAAGCCTGCAGGAAGCAGAATGAGCCGGTCAAGGCCTCAGCCATCAGAAGCATCTATCATATCATATCCAAAGGACGTTTTCTGTTTTCAGCCAGCAAGCCTTGAGTGTTCATTTCTCCAGTTTATGAATTTCGCTGGCATTCCGAGTTTGACGATTGCTATCAGCGGCTCTGCTTTCTCAAAAAAGTATATACACTAGTCACCAAAAATACCACTGTCGAACAGGCTTCAAAGCAGGAGGTTCAAACGGATCCCGGGGATGTTCCAAGTCATCACACAGAACAGGGAGTTGTATTTCCAAGAGGCCGGCATCCATGAGCATTGGTCGTGAGTAGGTCTTCCAAGACCTTGCAGCAAAATTGACATGTGACAAAGTTGGTGATACATTCACAAGAAGGGATCGATCTGTCACGCGTGGTCGCAAACTTGTTGCCAATTTCGTGTGGCATTTGCAGTGTTTCCAGATACCCGCAGGGCTACTGAGGAGAAGCAACAATACTTGGCCGTAGACTTTCGTGCATGTTTGGGTCCGAAGATGCTGTTGCATAGGGTCTAAGGCACCAAGATGATGCCACACGCAGAGTTACAAAATGTGTTGGTTTCGCATGTGAGGGGTTGGGTGGGGGGGTTAAAGACTTTCGTTTGGAGGCGCTTCCTAAGATAGATCACCTTGGAAGCAAGCAAGCCAGCCAGCCAGCCAAGTGCTACATACAAATAAAGGTTCGTCAGACTTGGTCATACTTGCTGTCAAATCCCTTTTCCTATATTATACTGTATAAATTTGCAAAAAGAACTTACTTAAAACAAAAAAAATGGAAACGCGCATTCCAAACACGCGGCTGTGTGGTGTTACCTTGTTTTTCGTGGGTTGCTATGGTGTTGATGATGAGAAACAAACTAGCCATTCGATTCTTGAAAGTCGGTGACAAATGATTCATTTGAGTCAGCTTCACAGCGGGAAATATGGCAGCCTCTTGCTCATTCCGGCTCGAGTCTTGATCAAGCGCCTTGCATGCTTCTTGTTAGGGAGAACGAACTGCAGCAATAAAGCCATGCATTCCTTTCAATCGCATTGCACCAACTTTGAAATGAAGTGTCCTTTGGAAAGTGCCACTCTTGGTGAGAGAATCCAAGAGATATCCTAGGGCAGTCTTCCTCAAAAAAATAAGCGAAACTGATTCATCCTGATTCCGATCTGCTACGCTACACACACCAAGAAATTAGTGTGCTCGGTACTGTCCAAAGCTTCTGATGCAAACCTTGAAGGAGTATTCTGCTTCCACACGCCTGCCACCAGGTCTCCAACAGCCTCAAGGTCCACTGGCTCCGGCGCCTAGGGGTAGTATGGTGCCCTGACACAATTGTGGTACTTCAAAATCTTCAAGGATTGCAACCACAACTTCCTAGAAAAAGCGATGCAACAAAATATCACAATCAAAAGCAACTCTGCAGACCTACCTGGCTCACTTGGCTTTTGGCCACAGACCGGTTCCCATGTTGCTCAACCTGGACGTGCCAGCGAAGCCCGACCTGGCAGATCTCTAGCGATGGCCTCCAAGTACGCCTTCATTTTGCTCCACACCAAAGCAGCTGGAATCATTCACTGGTTCCACTGTCAACAGCGGACACACAGGCCAAAGCAATGAAAAAGCTTGAGCATGCGAGTCGTGCCGACATTCTGTCCAAATAGTTTGCGGCTGACTTGGGTACCCCAGCTCATCGCGGCTCAAAATCACCTCGACCTTCTCACCATAGCGTTGGATGGTCTCCAGCAAAGCCTGGTGCCAGTCGTGGCTCAATTTTGAAGTACTCAATGTGGTGCATGCAACACAAACGTTTCTATCGTTCACCAGCTTTGATCGCACAGCTCAATCATTGGGGCTTCCGGCATCCTCTCCGGAGAAATCCACCAAAGCAGCATCACAGTCAAGGTGAAAAAATCCAGTCCACCTCACAGCAAGAGTGCCTCCTGCATGTTTTGAAGGGAAAGCAAGTAAAAAGACCCTCATGTCCATCGTCTCCAAAGCTGGATGAAGCAGTAGCCGAAAAAATTGTTCTAGCGGCCCCTAGCAGTTCAGCTCCCTAGTAATTCCCCGTGTCCAAAGGCCACAATCTTTACTGCTTCCCTTTTTGGTCTATGACATCTTCTGCCAATGCCTTCCTCCTCCTTCAAAACTGCCACATTGGAAAGAAATTCATTGCCCCACCAAGCTCCCAAAAAGACCGTGCACAATGTCGCTCAGATAGATGATAGATCCACAAGATCCTCCATCATACAGATCCCTCCGGTGCTGTTTGTAGATGATCCTGCGACATCCTCATGGAGTCCTTGGAAAGCAAGTGAACCTGGCCCAGCCTGCTGGCCTCCTCGCTCGCTTCCTTCATGACCTGCCCAGAAAAGTACAACTGTGTTCGGAACCGTACTTTAAAAAGTCCAACATGTGGGAACTCTTGAGCGAAGCATATGCGAATGATACGTGGCTGATCAGCCAGAGCAATTGTGTGAAATGTTGGCTTGGACCAGAGAAGCAATGGGAGGCAACTGAGGTCAAGTACCCTTGTAAACGACTTGGATTTACCTGTCATACCTCACTTCTTGCTGTGCTCCGCCAACCACCAACCACCAACCCAAGTGGCCTCCAACACCGCCCGGACGTTGCCACCGCGCCACAGATCGGAGCTGCGAAGGTATTCACCGGCCGTGAGGACGTACCTCGCTGGGTTGGCCGTGAAGGTTGGTGGAAGTCGCGAACTTAAAGTTACACGGCGAGTGGCCCTTGAGCGTGGATACACGAGCGCGCCAGTACTTAGGTGCACTGTAATTGTACATCATAGGAAGGTATGTGAAGCACCCCATTGAACGGCCTCCTACGATATACCGTGAATGGCATAGGTATGCCTGGCTGTCAGAGGAAATTAGTAGATCTATATGGTCTAGCTTGGCCACACGGTGTGCCATAAGTAGATACAACAATGTATATAACACCAAGCATCGTTTGCGCCGCCCATTCCTTCCCCTGATGACCTAATGGCACGGACTCAATCAAATTCACTTTCCACCGAGGCCTTGCAAAACCGCATGGCAACGCAACATCACAGACGTAGCTTGGCCACACAGTGCGCACGAGACTAGGTACAGCTTAACACCAAGCCTCGAGGACACTGCCTTCAACTTCCACCTTCGGTCGATACTTCTGACGACAGTTACACACTTCGGCAACGAAATTCTCATGGCGCCTCACGTTTGAACACTCGACATGCACTTCATCCGGCTCCAGACTTCGCATTGTGCATTCGCATTTCGCCTCGCACTCGACACACACGATCTCTGCAGAGGGTCACGCTTCGCAAGCCCTGTCCGGCCAGGCCCCCGCCTAAGAAAGAATAGATAGAGAGCCGAGATGTGTCACACACGCGCGAACAAACACATGTGTTCCTCTTTGTTTTAACATATGTTTACTTTTGCATATGTGTTTACTGAAGCAAGACCCCAGTGAAAGATAATACTTGACTTTGCATATGTCTTAAGCAAAACCCCAGCAAAAAATTACTTCACCTTTGCATATACTTTACTTACGCAAAACCTCAGCGAAACTTATACTTCACCTACGCAAAAGATTTCGGTGGGACGCAGGATAGCTCACGCTGCTATTCATTTGGTTCCTAGATTGTGAGGGAAACTTAACCTTGGATGTTTGTGAGTAGCAGCTCGAGGGGGAGGAGGAATAGCAGCTCACTTGTCAGTTGTTGTACAAAATTCTATCCTGTACGAATTGTAGTACTTCTTGAGGGCTGAAACTTGGACCATGAACTGGTGCACTTGGTGAAATCACAAGATCAAAGCCCTTCGGCAAGCACGGCTTGGCCTGTGGTCCAAGCGCTTTGCCCACCGTGCATTTACTACTGCGGTGTACCTCAAGAGCTTGCCCAGCACGGACGACCCAAGAATCATTCCCGTTGGATCGTCGAGGCCCAAAAACCGGTCACACCCAACTGACAGGTTGGTGATCTCAGAAATGCAGACATGACAGTGTTGATGATCTGATACATAGACACCTCAAGCCTTAGAACACGTGGAATGGCCTCCAAAAAGATTTTACATGGATCCCACGCAGTTCTAACTTCTAAGGCCTTGTGTTCTTCAGTTCATGATGACAATGTGTGCAGCCTGCTGATGAGCCAAGCGGTGTGGTTCGGAGTTCTCTGATGAAAAGGCGCACTGGCAGAAGGAATCCCACAAATTGCTGGTTGCCAACTGCATCACCAAGACCTCGCAAGTCTTCCACTGCTCCGGAGAACAGAAAGCAAGCGAATTGAGACTTGACGATTGGGATCCTGGTGGTGCTCGACGCCCTTTGGTGGCCTAGTAGCCTCCTCTCATCCCACATTGCACGTGGCTGTGCTTGTAAAGCCTCACACTTTGGTCCACTCTTGAGCCCCACTCAGCTTCACACTCTCGTCTTGCTCGAGCTTGCTGCTCCTGTACAAATCTCAATGCAGCCCTCACAAGCACCAATGGTCTCAAGTCCAACGTTGTGCAAAAGCGCTGATGATGTAGAAGAAGGTATGTATATAAGCGTTCGGTCCGAACTGCTCCAAAGAAAGTCAGACTTGTTTGGTTCATGTCCAAGCAAAAATCAGGAACACGGTGTTTTCCCGTATGTTGACGGTCTTTTTGTATGCTGTAGGCAGGACCAGTCAAAGCCGGGACTTCATTATCTGTTTCCCGATGGCTTAATCTGTGAGCAAACAAGGACATCGGTCTTGGATGTTTGCACGACATTCCCAATCGGTACACTTCCTGGCGCCAGTGGAGGAGATGTCGCATTGGCGCAGTGGACAAGGCTGCCTGCGGACCGTCACGTGACAGCGGATCGAGTAACTCGGTCATTGTGATCACCGAATAGTCTGCAAAAAACTTGACGATGATTAAACGGGCAGATGCTCGGAGCAAATTCCAGCTCAGCTTGTGCATGCGACGGTGAATGGTCTAGGCTTGAGGCAGTTGTATATCTACCAGCAAACACTGCAGTTGGAGATCTCATGAACTTCTGAAGCTTCTTTTGCATCCCTTTGTGAGTTCGGTTCTTGCAACAAGGAGTGATCAAAGGGACTCTAGCGCTGCTCGTCTGCACCTGTGGCTTGGTTCTCCTGAATGAGCTGCAATTCCCCACATTGCATATCACAAACTCAATTTTGGCAGGTACGCGTGCAAAGCCTAGCCTTCGTGTTTCACAGGGACAGCTCAAATTTCCCGAGTCAGGACAGCACAGGCTTCAAATGTCAAAGGCTGAGCTACGTCGTAGAGGAACCTTGTGGAGCAATGCTTTGACCCTCAAAGTCTTGTGGTGGAAATGTGTATCAGCAGCACCGTCTCTTGTGGGAAGGTCCAATATGGTCCAATTAGATTCAAGCTGCCGACCACTCCTGCACTGTTTTCATCGAAACAGCCTTCGAACACCCATCTCCTCGCAGCAGGGTGTCGAGCTAGCTGCCGACACCAAAAGGCAGAGTCGCCTGCAAAAGATCACTGTGAGATCTTCTGGCTCTTCAGCTTTTGGATCCTTCATCAATCATGATCAATGCTTGAGCAATGTGGCAAAGCGTGTCAAACGATCGTGTGCTGGTACGCTAGCGCTAGCAATGCATGATTGTCCCAGGAACAAAGGGCATCGCTACTAGGAGCAAGGACGCTTAGTAGCTCCTGGCCTTACGGGCATCGCTACTAGGAGCAAGGACGCTACTAGGGGCTCCTGGCCTTACTACTAGGAACAAAAAGCTATTAGTAACAAATCCGCTCATGTGCTCTGAAGATCCGCTCGGCCAGCACTCTCCCAGCCTGAGGATGGTGCTGTGCCGGCTGCGACGGCTGTGCTGGCCCCCCATGCAGACCTCGCAGGCCAAAGCAGGACAAGACTTGCTTGTGGGAATGTATGGACCTCACGGATGTGCTTCAAAGTTCACGACTACCCTCCGGAGAGTAGCCAACTAGAAGCCAAAAAAGAATGGTTCCTTGCAAATAGTAGCCTGTTGCTCTTCAGCCACAGGATTGCTCCTCAAGTCACCAGCACATCACAGGATTGCCTAGCTACGGTTACTGGCTGCGATGCACCTGCGTCCGAGTTGTTGCATCCGAGTCGGATGTGTTCACAAGCACTATCAAGCAAACGTCACAACATTCACGCAAGTTCGACAAGCATCCGCAAACCACTTTTGATTGACCCAAAAATTAGGCAGAATTTCTGCCACTGTGCTCCGGGCATGGACGCAGGGATCATGGCACAATGTTGTGAAAATCTGAGTGTGAAAAGGTGGCCAACAATCGAAAACTAACCAAATAGCTATCTGAAAAGCCCTTGTTTGAAGGCTGTTCTTGTGCATGAGGAGTGTGGCGAACATCCAATGTCAGCATGGGTGAGCAAAGGTCCAGGTTGTCAGTCTAGTTGAACATTTATGGTATCCATCAAGCTTGAGGTAGATCGGATGGGCATTTGGCTGCAGAGTTCCTGTCTATCAACTTTGAGTTCATGGAGATTCACTTGTGAACAAATTACCCTAGACTTTCGCTCGACAAAGACCACCAAGAAAACTCCCGCGTTGCGGAACTAGCAACTACCAGTAGCCCCTGATGAATATGTGGGCTTTTCTGAAGAGACATACAACCCTCGAATCATGCCGTTGCAATCCGTAAGCTGCTTATGCATACTGGTAAGACAATCTTGTATGTAACGTTGTCCAAAAATGAGACGCTTGGTCTGCCCTGGCTTTGACTTCCGCCTTGGCACCGTCCTCATAGAACTCCACAGAAGCAACTTCCACGCTCCCAATCATCTCAGTCTCCAGCACCTGCAACTTTAGACTTAACATGACTTTAACACTGTCTATAAGCCACGAGGGATTGTCTCACAAACTGCCAAAGCTCTGACACAAAAATCATTGTTTGCACACCCTCCTCATTCTACTTCCTGCCCTCCTGCCCTCGCCACAACACTTGAGGATCCTGCCGAACTCTTTTCTGGATTCGCCGGTGGGAGACACATCCAGTCGTTGAGAACCCAAGGCTTCGAACCTTCCAACTTTCGATACACAGCGAGGTGCACTAAAGCACAGTCGAAGCTCTGGTCCGCAACAAGCCATTCCACTGGTGCGAGCCATATAGTCTCAGTGGGCGATATAGAGAAGCGGCAGCAGGGCACCAAGATGAATCCAAGAGCGCGGTAGCGTGCCAGACTTGGGCTCATTGTCCACTGTCTTGTTGTTTCTGCAGTAGATATATTCCTTGGCACATTGGAATGACTCACGTTCCGGAGGCACAGACTTTGAGTCTGTGCTGGTCACACCCAACCAAGAGGTGTCTCCAGTGGCAAACATTCAGTGGCAAACATGGTCTGAGTCTTCGTGATCTTGTTTCTCGCCAGGACGCGGTGTAAGGCCTCAGCTCACCCCAGCCCTTGAAGTTCTCTGTGTGCCCTGGGACGTCGCTGATCAGCTTGCAAATGTCGCCCTCCAAGCGAAGACCCACCTCCAGCCGGTCGCCAGTGAACCACAATGGCTGGAAAATTGCACATGTGAGATGTGGATGTTTGCATGTGGCGGCCCTTACAAAAGATTGCGGGATGTAGGAGGGGAAGAGTCTAGTAGCGTCCTTGCTCCTAGCGCTGCCCTTTCCTCCTAGTAGTTTCTTGGTCCTAGTAGTAAGGCCAGCAGCACCTAGTAGCGTCCTTGCTCCTAGTAGCGATGCCCTTTGCTCCTAGTAGCTTCTTGTTCCTAGTAGTAAGGCCAGGAGCGCCTAGTAGCATCCTCGCTCCTAGTAGTTTCTTGTTCCTAGTAGTAAGGCCAGGAGCCCCTAGTAGCGTCCTTGCTCCTAGTAGCCAGGCAGCCATGCCCTTTGCTCCAAGTAGTTTCTTGTTCCTAGTAGTAAGACAAGGAGCCCCTAGTATCGTCCTTGCTCCTAGCTTCTTGTTCCGAGTATTATGGCCAGGAGCCCCTAGTAGCATCCTTGCTCCTAGCTCTTTGCCCCTAGTAACAGTAGCTTCTTGTTCCTAGTAGTAAGGCCAGGAGCCCCTAGTAGCAT